GTAATTATATACATAATTATGTATATAATATTTCTTAAAGCAAATATTTCTTAAGTTTTTTTTTATGTATTTTGTGTTCTTCAATAATTGTTGATACAACTTAATACGTGTGTATTACACAATGTATATAATAATTATATATATAATTACATTCGTAATTATATACATTCGTAATTATATATACATTGCGTAATACACGCGTATAAAGTTGTATCAACAATTATTGAAGGACACAAAATACATAAAAAAAAACTTAAGAAATATTTGCATCTTGTTGGTGTGAAAAATTTAATGCGTTTTGTTTTTTTTTTTTTACAGGACAGAAAAATTCACGGAGATATCCGGTGATGGTGTTTATTCACGGTGAAAGTTTCGAGTGGAACAGCGGCAATCCTTACGACGGCGCTATACTGGCGGCTTACGGCAACGTCATATTTGTTACAATTAATTTTCGACTCGGTATCTTAGGTAAGAGATGCGTCAGTTTTTTTTTTTAAAAAAAGAAAAAAACATTTAATATTCGCGTTATTCTAAAAAAAAAAAAAATTTGTTTGCATTTGTTATTGCATGCGCGTCAACTTTTTATAGATAGGTATCTGTAGAACACGAAAGCTCTCTCTCTCTCTCTCTCTTTCTCTGTCGATCGATACGCTATGCGGAAAAGCAGTAAGGCTCTAATATACTTTTACTGTTCCGTCTTATAAATAACTTCGTTACAGCTCGTCGTTTGCCAAGACTGCTTGCCTGCTTGGCAAACTTCTTTTCTAAATTTTTATCGCCCTGAGTTTTCAATATTGGACTTTGCCTTCAAAGAAAGTTCGCCCGAGACCAACGATACAGGATGGCCGACTTATCACGTCACTGAAAGTGTAAACGACTCCCCGTCCCGGGTTTAATCGTAAACAACTACTTTGTTGCGCTCGGAAAAATCGACGCGCACACACACACACACACACACACGCACACACATACACGAAGATAACGCGTGTTGAAATTGTTTGCATATAACATAAATCACAATTACAAAAATATTTATATGAGCGATTTAACAACGGAGGGGCGAAGTTGAGTTAAATTGCAGCGCGAAGCTTTTTTTTATTTAAAGAAAAAAAAAACAAGAGAGAGAAGAAAACATTAAATTATTCCGTATATTGTCCGGGTGTATACACTTCTCTCATTGTTACGTAAAAAAGATAATTGATGCGGTATAATAGTATATATATTTCGTTGAGCGAGCGAGCGGTCATGCAAAAGTATCATTATTCAGAAAGTCCGTTAAAAAAAAAAAAAAACTAACATCTAGAACCGCGCCGCGCGGTGTGCGGATGTGTGTGGTGTGTGTGTATATCGCGCGCGGGTTATAACCTCCGCAATACGAAATTTTCGTTGTACGAAGCGGTCGTCTCGCGAAGGGGTTAACAGCAAAATTCCGGCAATCCCTTCTCGCGCGAGAGATGACAAGGACGGCGCAATGCAAATGGACGGGAGCGCGCGCTCCCGTGTCGTTTGTGTGTGTGCGCGCGCGCGCGCGCGCGCGTGTGTGCGAGGGTACATCCGGTATATCCGGTAAGTGGAGTGGTTTCGCGGAAGAAAAAAAGAGGCGGACGCGAAACCATAATCATAAATTAGGTTAAAGTGCTGGGGAAGCGCTTAGTAACCCCGACCCGCGCTCTAGGCGGCCGTGGAGTCAGCCCGTGAGGAGCCTGCGGATAACTTCAACCGCCCTGCCGCCGCCGCCGCCGCCGCCGTCGTGTCCGCCCTGCGCAAAACAGGGGAAAAATATGGTCCCGAGCGTGAAGCGGTCGTCGAGCAAAAAGAGGCCCGACGATCGCGTTACCGCGCGAAAGTGCTTCATGTTTAAGCACGAGGAGAGAATTTTGCATCACACCGTAAAGCTAATTAATTAGGACGCCGAATTTATGAATCTCTGGGGAAACTTGAAATCGAGAATTGCAAGGAATATCTCAAGAAAAGGAATGAAGAAAAGAAAAGACAAGGGTGAAAAAGATGCAGTTTTTTTTTTCCGCGAAACGAAGCGCCGCTCTTGTAAATTATCGAACGGAAAGAGAAAGTTCGGTACTTGAATTCGGTGGAGTATTTAAAAAATATTTTCCCCGTTTTTTTTTTTTTTTTTTTTTTGACGTGTATTCTTCAATATTTTGTTACGCTCATTCGTTATCCGCGGTATTTCCCCATATTTGCAGTATTTTATCCAACGGTAAACAACAACCTGTCTGCGATACGCGCACGCGAATAAACAAAATCTCCTCCCGTTGCAAAAAGAAAAAAAAAAAAAACAATGAACGATTATTTGCGCGGCAATTTGTTTAGCGGCGACGTCAAAAGTTTTACTCCTTGAGCCTTGCGGGAAATAAGAATAACGAGAAACGTTGAATTCGAGGTTGGTTTGTCGAGTAGCTCGCGCGGTTCTTATTTACAAGATAAGCTTTATTTCCAACTCTCCCGTGAGTTTTCCCTCACGGGTGGTGCGTTTCGGTCTCAACAGCTCCTGCATCACGTTGAAATTTAAGAATATTTGCTTGCACAGCATATTGGATTTCTAAATGCGAAAGTTTATAGTTCCTTGGCTGGGTAACTACCGAGAGGTAGTTTTCTCTCTTTTTTACGCGCGAAGAAGATACCTTGTTGCTGATATATATATATATATATTTTTGCGTTGTTTAAACTCTCTTTCTCGAGATATATATTGTTCTAATATATTGTTCACAATTGCGACGATCTCTCTCTTTTTTTTTTTTTGCACACAGGATTTCTGAGACCCGGAATTCGAGACGATACGGCGAGCAATTTCGGATTGTTAGATCAAATAGCGGCATTGTTGTGGTTAAAAGAGAACATCGCGGAATTTGGCGGCGATCCTAATAGCGTAACTCTGGTCGGTCACGGGACCGGGGCTATTTTTGCAAATCTACTTCTAATCAGTCCGGTCGCCAACAAAAAAGGTAATAACACAAGTACAGTTTTTTTTTTTATTACATTCTATAATGCGAGATTTTTCTCATTAAAAGGACGTTCTCCGACTACACGTGGTTAGGCAACCTAAAAATACAGTGGTTAGCAACAGGGCCGGGATTGGGAGACTTTTTCGGACCGCAGCTTTGTATCACACCGGCCCGCACAAATCAGAAACAAAACAAAATATTACTTATAACATAGACAGAGGATTGTAAGAATTATAGCTTTTTATTTAGTTATATAATAGCTTTAATTATAATAATTTTTTATTTTCTAAGTATAACAACTTACTAAGATAAGAACTTGTTTGAGCAAGATTGTCAATAATATTATCATTGTCTAATGTTAAAAGGATATCTTTTTCGGACAAAAAAAAAATGCAATGTAACGTAAAATAATGCTAGGTTATATTTTTTATCAGTGCGTTAAATAAAGTTTAAGATTACGTACGAATTTAAACTTCGGTCGGTATACTTAACGCAACGTAACACGTAAAAACTTGTGCAGGGTGGCCCCTGAGGCCTTTTGACCCATCGGTCCACCGAGCTTTTCTCGATAGCTTGCCGTCCCAATCCGGGCCTTAGTTAGCAACCTAAATACAGTGGTTGGCAACCTAAAATATCTCTTCTCACGAGTAAGTTTGTACTGCTGTTAACAAAGTTAAGTCGAGCTATTCAGCATTGCTAAGACCCGCTTACTCTGCGCAGAAGTTCAAAAATAGCTGCAGTACACAGCGCGCATAAATCCAGCAAAACAAAAAAAAAAACAAAAAAAAGCTACAGTTTGAAAACAATGGTTGCTTGCCGTATTATTCAAAATCGTATTTTAATTAAGACACTCTCCGCTATCACATACTTGTTTTTTTTTTAAATTCCTACAAAAATTGTCGTCAGTAACTTTAAAAAACCCCACTTCACAAAGACTCGGCATAGGAAATCCATGTTAAAAATAATTGAAACTTAAATCTTCCGTATTTTGGAATTTAACATCGCTACCCCTGTTATCCAAAAAGGCTACGTACAAATAAGATCGTAAACTATGTGCTATCGCAAATTTAAAGAAAATCCTAGGCAAATCAATAATTCGGAGAACGTCCTTGATAAAAGATTTTTTAATGATTTTTTCAGACATTCTGTATATATAACTTGTTTTTGTTTACATCGTTCGAAACAATTGTTCCTCAATTCGATCCGCTTCGTATTTTCGTCGAACGTTTCTCGTCCTCGTATAACACACCCCCGTTCGCGTAAGAATCAAAAGATGATACGCGCAATCCGAACTAATCTCTCTCTCTCTCTCTCTCTCTCTCTCTCTCTCTCTCTCTCTCTCTCTCTCTCTCTCTCTCTCTCTGTCTCTCTTCCTGGCGTAATTGGATACATTATCCATAGTTACAAGGGCGTACGGCGATCGCATACAGAGATCGCGATTTCCGAGAGTCGGCGAGAGATAATCGTGGGATTAATTGGGGGAATTAGAGCGAGAGAGATAGGCGCATACGCGCGCTCTCGCATTAAACGTAATACGTTAACGTGCACGAGACAATGTTCGAAGCGTATTTCTGCAATGTACGAACGCTTTTATCAGACCCATAAATCGAAGAAACTCAAGTAAGTTGTCATCTTCTGACAATTGTTAATATATATAAAAAAAAAAAAATAAAATAAAATTTACACAAAGGTAATCCGATTTGTGTGACGAAATTATTATCGAACACAACCGTCAACGTCAACCGCGTTGTCGGACAGTTCCGTTTTATTCAGATATCAACGCGCGGCTTCCATTACTCCTTTTTTGAGTTTTCTCCTCTATATACCAAATCCACAAGCGCTCGGCATTGTGATATTTCCAAGATTTGACAAGGGGCTAAGAACCCGTCGGTCTCTCTCCTCCTCCTCCTCTTACACGTGTTCAGTGGTGAGCGCACATCGACCACCGAGCACTCAAGCACTCTCGGGGGCACTCGGAGCCGGTGCTGCTCTCTCTCCCCCCCGAGGTAGGGTCAGCGAGAGCGAGGTGAAAGCAAGAAAAGAAGACGTCGACCATTTTTCACCCGACTGGCTCGCAATGGCGGCGGCCGGGGAAAAGGAACTTTTCTCTTCCGGCCGAGCGCACAATGCCATCGCGTCCGGCCAATAATTATATTGTGCAATGAAAAATAACCGGACTTAATATTTTACACGTCGAGACAGAAATGCCCGCTTCTCCCCCCCCCCTCCCCCTCCCCATCCGCCCGCCATCATCATCCGCGAAGGGAAGGTTCTCAAACGCGCGTGTCGCTGTGTGTGTCATTTTATATTTTATATACACCCTCTTCGCTCCTCTCTCTCTCTCTCTCTCTCTCTCTCTCTTTTCTCTCTTTACGCGTAATATAAACGCGGTCGCAATTTGTTCGCGACGACGACTGCAAGAAATAATGTAAATACGTGACATTACCGTGTGTGTTGTCAGGAAAAGGTGTTTTTTCGTGTAGAATGTGTAACACACGTTCTCTACAAACATTACGGAAATAATAATAACGAAATGTGTTGTTATTCTCTTTTGAAGAGTGTCTTCTAGAAAATGTTCAGTTTCGAAGGAGCGAAGAACGTGCGAAAAATAAACGTTTTTTTATTTTTTGGATAATTTTTTAAATATCTATTACAGAGAGAGATTCTCCGAAAATTGCTTTTTCAACGCAATTTGAGAACAACTGCTGCTAATGGCCGAGTTATTAATCAGTGACATTCTCATCTTGTTTTGGCGTAGGTTTGTTCAAACGAGCCATTCTGATGTCCGGATCGGCAATGAGCGCGGATGCCATCGGCAAGGCGCCACTGCAAATTACCAAGCAGGTAAAAAAAAAAAAAAAGAAAAGGACGATATCGTATAATAGTCGCGTTCTCCCGAATAAAAAGCGCGAGATGAGGATTGATGCGCTCGGATTACAGTTTTGCAAAATGAGAAATCGCTATGTTGTACACGCGGCATTTATTATCATCAAGTCTCACAACCGAGTTAATTTTGAATCTTTATAGATTCTCTTAAATAAATTCTTGTCTGTATTATTTTTTTCTTTTTTTTTTTTACAAATTAATTCTTATTCCATAAATTTATTGCATTTTTTCTTCAATGTTTTACTATTCGATTTCTCAGTCGCGTTTGCACACACACACACACAGAGAGAGAAAAACTTTTATACTACACGGTATAAAGAAAATACCGTTTATCACCGGTTTTTATTTTCTACCCGGGGATGCATGTTTCGCAAATGACGGCATCCATGTTTCTGCTCTACTCGCGATTTGAATTCGACGGGAAGAAATATCGTCGCTCGTCGCTCGCGTCACACGAGGCGAAGAATCGTTACACAGTTACATCGATGCCAACGACGACGGGAGGGAAGGGAGGGAGATGGCTCTCTGGCAGTGCGTTCGTTGCGCTTTCGCGAGCAATAGCGGGAGGGGATCGTTTTTCAGGTGGCGCACCATCTCCACTGTCCCACCGCCAGCGACAGCGAACTGGCGCTATGCTTGCGCAACCAGGACGTAGACAAGCTGCTACACGCGGAACTCCACAAGCCGAAATACGTGCCGGCCTACGCGCCGTTAATCGATCGCGCTGTCATTCCCGACAAGCCGTTCAACTTGATGCAGAACGCGCAACTCTTCAGCAGGTATATATATATATACCATTTGAATAATGCGATAGAGTAGATGCGTGCGTTTAAATCGAACCGATTCCTCGAACGAAACATCATAATCTCTCTCGATATTGATTGAGCTTTGCGAGCACTCAAACGAGATTTCAAAAAGAGACTTAATTCGCTCAGACTTGTTGTTCGAAATTTTACCGCGCGATCAGATTTAAAACACACGAGAAATAATCGCAAAATTGTGTTTTCTGGTGCGTGTTTTTTTTTTTTTTCAGGTTTGATCTGATGTACGGAGTAACGGAATCCGAGAAATTTCACATCCTGCCACCAGTTGCTTTGTTGCACGGTATGCATGACGGACAACGGGATGAAATTTTGCGAGACTACGCCAAAGTAAATTTACTCATGTGTTGGTTTGCCTATATTCCAATATATATATATAATATATATATGTATATATATATATACACGGAGTAATCCTCAGTCCTTTTACTCTTCGTTTTTATATATTGACTCTATTTCGCGACATACTTTATTTTCTTAGAATCTCTCCGAGTTCTCTTTGATCCCCCCCCCCCCGCGCGCGTTCTTTGATTTTTATTTTATTCCTCTCTCCTTTTCTCCCGTCCCTATTTTTACAGACTCGATTTTCAAGATTAAATTTTTCAATATTTTCTTTCCCAAATTGTCCCATTGTTTCGAGAGACGCGAGAATTTTTTTTTTTTCTAGATTCCTTCGATTCTCTCTCGGATTTTGCGGGACGATTAAAATCGTTTGGCACCGGATTCTCTCTCAAAAAAAAAAATGTTCCGCTCTTCCGGAAAAAAATCCCTCGCGCGATGATTTTTCTCCGAGTCCCCAACGATTTTCTAGTATCGAGAACATGTCCTCAGGCGACGCACGAGCTAGAACCGGAGCTGATCCTGTCGAAAGTGTTGGAGCAATACGCCGACTTTTCCAGTGGATTCACGAAAGAGTACGCCACAAAGAATCGGGACATGGTGCTCGAGGCGGTCTCCGACAGCGGCACTGTGGCGCCGTTAATAATGACTGCCAATTTGCATTCAAGGGCGAACCCGAAGAGCTACATGTACGTCTTCTCGCATCCGAAAGCTATGCAAGACTACTCTGGCGTAAGTAGGTCTCGACGATACAACGAAGATCGATTATCGCAGCTCAGACGCTTCTCGACAAAGCGGGATCCGACGTGGTGCGGGAAAAATGTTGCGCGTCGCGTCAATGGGCGAGGAAAGCGCGAAAGGAAGATGAAGAGAAAGGGGGTGGCAGAAGGTGGGAGGAGGAGGAGGAGGAGAAGAAGGGAGTGGAGAAGAGAGCGCGGAGAGAAGAGAGATGGACGGGCGGGGATGATGAGTTAAAGTGCGCTTTCTTCAACGCTCCAGTTCGTGCTGCTTCATGCAACGTTGTTATTCCTTGACGCGGAATGTTGCTCCTGAAAACGAGGGGCATTTTATCATCGTCGCACTTTATCGCCGCGAATCTCGAAACAGCAAATTTACTTCTTTTAATTTGCTCTAACCGCAAATGAAAATAAAGATAAAACGGAAAAACAAAGAACGAAAGAAAAACACGCGTTAGGAGTTGTTTAAAAAAAAAAAAAAAAAAAAAAACTTAAGAATCCTTTAAAGAATCAGAGTTTCTTTCCTGGCAGATTTGTTAGGAATTTTATCACGTGACGACATTCCAAAAATTGTGTCTCTTATTCGTTCTTTTTTTTTTTTTGGTTTCTCTGGTCTCTTTCTCGAATATTGCTTTCTAAATTTTTGAATTTTCGCGTTGACAATTCAATTTGCAGAAATGCAAAACTCAAAAGTTCAACAAACTGTTTGGAGAGATAAGAAACGTTGTGCGACAGCTTTTTTACGTCTCAAAATCTCTTATATAAATCGCGATTAATCTCAAAACAGTCGATCAAAAAAAAAAAAAACAGAAATCAAGAGAATATCTCGCTCGCGAGATTTTTGGAACATCCGACATAGTTAGCATTGTGTTCATTCTCTCCGGTTTCTTAGCTCGAAAGAGAGAGAGACGAGTTGTGACCTAGTGGTGTGGTGGCGGCTATTGTGTTCGCACAGAGTCGCGCGAGGAGAGAAAAATCTGGGCTGCGAACCCATTTGGATTTCGGCCAACTATTTTTATCGCCGTTGCGTGCGCCGGCAACGACCTCGTCATGCAGTATAACCGAGAATATCGCTAAATTGAATGTACCTCCGCGCACAACGTACCATCCTCGCGTCAACAAGGATATTAGATTTTAAATCTGCAAATAACGATTCGCGTGCATCAGTCCAACGTGTTAGGTTGGGTATCTCTCTCTCTTTTATACACAAACTTTCTTTCTCTTTTTCCATCCGGGAAGTCTTGCTCACTCTTTCTCGCTCACGGCGAGAATGTGCGAGCAACCCTCTCGATGAATTTTAATTTTCACCTGTCCTCGTAAATTCCGTCCTTTATTGAACTTTACAAATTGACGCGTTTGTAAATACGCTCGGTTTATCGCGCTAAAAATAATTACGGACTACGATAAATCTGAGAATTTTATGCCCGGCAAAATTTTATTCGCAAATTGTTAGTAGAATTGATAATGAGTAAGATGGTAATTAAAGTTGAAATAAAAACTCTTTATATATATAGAGTGTAAGAAAGATAAATTAAATAAAAATGGATTAACAATTATATTATAAGCAAATACAATAATTAATGAAAAAGAAATATTTTTATCTCGAAATAAAACAGAATTATAAATTAAAGAACATTAGAATAAATTTAAGTTTGTTTGATTATCAATCGTATAAGAGATTTTATTTCAAACTTTAGAAGTTAGAAAATTATTTTAAAAAGAGAGAGAGAGAGAGAGAGAGAGAGAGAAAAAAGAAAAAAGCTATCTGGGGGAAAGGGGATAACAACTTCTGAGTTTTGATATTTTCAAGTTATGAGAAATCGGCATCGAAATGTCGATAAAATCCGCATTTTTCGCGACATAAAAGCACATCCAATGATCTCGTTATGTGTTGCAGCAACAACGTCAACATACCGTGCATGGTGAGGAGTTGCCTTACGTATTGGGTGTCCCATTGGGCAGCAAGTACGATTTGCGAGATCGATATGATAACAGTGAAATGCTGTTTTCGGAAGCTATTATGACCTGGTGGTGCAGTTTTGCGTATACCGGGTAAATTAATAAAAAAAACACAAGAATAATACATACTTGGTGATACAGTTTAGATATATCATCCATTATACATTTTTACTTTTTAGAAATTTCGTTTTTTCATAAATCTAGTTAAAATATATAGTGTGTGTTTGAAATATGTATTTTAAAATGGCTCGACTTAATTACAAAAACGAATAATAATAGCAATTTAAATTAAAAAAAGCTTTATATTTATTTGAAAATGTGACAAATAGAAAATTTATTTAAAGCACATTTCTCTTAATTTGTTTTTATTTTGAGAAATGTAGCACACACAGTTTATTCAGCGTGAATTAATAATTAAAAAAATTTAGTAAATAAAATCTGCAGAAAGCTAGTTGATAATTGCAAATTGTCTGAAGAAAAAAAAAATAAACATGGAAACGAATAAACTCGTTATTTGAAATATAATGCGGTGCGCGATCACGCTGCGCACATTAAAGTTAAATTAAAGTTGGTATTAAAGTTCAACGCGTATGTGAGTGGCGGCTACCGTATAGAAACAATCGCATTTAATAACAAGTGGAGAACAATTGTTGTTCAGCGTTGACGCGGAAATTCGTAGTTGCTAAAGTTAGACTTGGAAACATACGTATCCGGAATGTGATTTTCAATTAACTAAACGTTCAGGCGTTTAATTAAACCGAACAGTAATATATTTTTCAACGTTATGCATTTGAATAAAAATACATTATTTAACCGCATTATTTCAAAAACAAATAATTTTACAGAGAAATATATTATACAAAATGTACGTAAATACAAACCTGAGATTTTTCAAATTAATATACATATTTCCATATGTGTGTGTGTGTGTGTGTAGTACATTCAGAAAATAAAGTAATTAAAATATAATATATTTTTAATAAAATCAATATATTTTTATTATTCACTTATCTATAAAAAATATATATACATCATATATATATATGGAGCGTTTAAAGTAGATTACGTTACAAACATGAATTTTAACAAAATAGATTCAATAACTTTTATAACGTATCTATTGTATTATATCACTTTTAACTCGCACAAAAGAAAAAATTGATATTTAAAACATTGCCAAGATTATTAATAATTAAATAAATAAAACATTTAAAAAAACAAATATCAAAGTTATGAGTAAAAAATATGATTATTATTTTTTCAAAAACAACTGAAAAGGAAATACAAAATTTATGTACTGTGCAAACGAGTTTATCAGAAAACTCGTTAAAATAAGTTGCTAAATTTTTCCCTTCCAAATTTGTGCTGATGTGTACACGCGTTATATACGTACGTACATATGTGTGTGTGCACATGCACACGCGCGTATGCGTGCCGAGTTCCAGTCTTAAATTAACTCAGTGCAATTTGATGCTTGTTATGCTGATGCTCGATATTGTCGAATTAACGATCCGTCGAATTGGCCGTTTTAATTTGCGCGATAAAAGCAGATTATCCGCGATTCTGAATTATTTCAACATTTTGTTTCATCTAACAAAACATTCCGCTTTATTCGGTTGAACAAGCCCAATGTTATCGGTATATAAAGCTAAGCTTTGTTTAAAACAGAATATCGGATTTTTAATTATATTAAAAATTTAATCGCGACTGTTTGAAGTGCCGAGCCTTTAATTGTGCGTGAAAATTCAAAGTCGAATCTCTCTGGTGTATATCATTTGAAATTAAGATAAATTAAGATAAGTTAATTATATATGTAATTACATATGCAACTCAATTAACATTTTCAGTTTTTATTTAATTGCAAGATAAATTACAAAATAGACGGAAAAAAAAGTTAGCTCTCGCAGCTAAAAATTAGGTTTGGTTTCTAAATTTTCGTAGTATTGTGGACACCTAAGCTCTTAGTGCTTAACAAGACATACATATTTTGCTGTTATGTCGACATATTTAGGAATATCAGCAAAAATTTGTTTCTATGAAATAGAAAATTTTAATTAATAGAAAATTTAATTAATAGAAAATTTTATAGCTACACAGCAGCAAATTCAGTTTCAGCAAACCGTAATTAGCTGTGGTAGAAACTATTATTTTTTTTTTTTTTCCGTATATTCATTGAAACTGTATTTAAAATTTGTTCGTGCAATTAATTCCTTATGATTTGTCACATTCTTCACGTGCTCTTTGTTTCCCGCGAAACGCAAATTACCAAATAGTAGTACCTTGTATTGGGTTTTTGTCGGTTATCACTTTTGTGTGTGTTTGCGTGTATAGTTCGATCAGAGCATACCTATGCATTATCGCGGGAAAACAGAGAGAGAGAGAACCAAAGAGAACTGGGTCGAAGTAATTGAGCAAAACAGAGGGTATTTAGATTTAGCGGTAAATGCCGTGTGTGTTCGTGTGTAAACGTCACACGGTTGATCGATATTTCATCCGTTACTGTGTATCCATTGTAGGGGTGTGTCTTCTTGTCAAAATGAATGACGCCCCAGCATCTAAACCGGAGCGCGATCGATGATAACGAACGATGGCAAGAGACCCGAACATCTTTTTTTTTTTTTTTGTTTTTTTTTTTTTTGTTTTTTATCTCACTCCGCGTGAATTCCGCCGTCACGCGAAATCGATTGAATCTATCGCGTTTATTCAACTCGCCCGTTAAAAAGTCACTCCATCGCGCGCGCGCGCGCGCCGAGATTATACTCGTGCGTCACAAGACAAATGATATATTCAAAAATATATCAAAAATACACAAGAAGATTAATTAGCAGCCGGATCTCATTCGCTAGAGAATGACGCAACATTAGAATTTGATACTTTTATGGAAGAAAATACACACACACACACACACAGTATATTTGTAAGTAAAGAAAATATTGTTTCATTCAGGAATAAATATAGAGATAATTTATACGCAGATGAATTTGAAGATAATTATATGCAGATAACAAAAAAAAAAAACAAAAAACGAAATAGCAGTATCGAACGTATCCCTAAGGACTATTGGATCATCCGGTATCTTCTCCCTCCACATCCTGACGGTATTAATCCCAAGTTGCCCAAGCGTATAGCCTGTAACAAAAGTTATTGGGCATTCCTACCTACCTACGCTGCATTAATCATTCTCGATTATTTATCAAAGAAAATACTGTAATCCCCGCAGGAATCCGAACGTCGTCGCCAAGCGATTTCTGACCACCGGGAACAAGGAACGAGGTCGTTACGAGATCGAGTGGCCCGAGTATGATCCCGTCAATCAGACATATTTCAATCTGAGTAAGAATCTCATCGATGCTTTCACGTAAAAATGTTAATTAACGTAACTTTCCACGTTGGAAGTAACATTTTTCCTGCGTCAACGTCATGAAAAAAAAAAAACAATGTGTTGTTTACGAGCTTATTATTGTTGTTACAATATATCCTTTTCTTTGCACGCAGCCATACCGCCTGACGTAGGCTCGCATTATCGCGCGGCAAAGATGCAATTTTGGAACGAGGACCTGCCCAATTTGCTCAAGCACCCGAATCAAGATATTTCGAGTCCGATCCGACCGAGAGGACCGCGACCGTCGATTCTCGACTACATCGATAGGATCGATGAGTATGCCATTCGAAAATTTACATAAATATTTTTTTGCGATATTTACATTAAAAACACACGTGGCATTTTATGTAAGAGATGCCGTAGAAAATTTACTGACGGGTAAAAAATTGGGTTTTTTACTTTCTTGTCACACTATTAGTACTTATATAAAGGTTTGTGTGTAAAAACAATTTTCTTCAACAGAAGATACACAACTCCGTCCGGCATCACGGACACGGCCGCGAACAAGTCGCCATTTTCAATCATGGTCACGACCGGCGAAAGTATTCGGGAAGCGAAGGAAACCGGGGCGGAATCGAACACATTGAAGACCTCGTCCGTGACTTTGTTGGTGATCGTCTTTTTTGTGATGTTTATACTGATAAACTTTACCGTATTTCTATATATCTATTATAAGAAGCGCAATATGAAGGGAAAAGAAAAGTCATTGAAGAGACGAAACAGCGAGAAGAAAGACGAGTCCGTCAAGAGGTCGAAAACTGATAAACACGAGAACCATTACGGGCAGATTGGATACAAAAGTGACAGCAAGCCAGATCTGAACGATGTGATAAAAAATGACAAAGCTTACGACAACAACTCGAACTTCGGACGAAGATCGAAGCTGTCGAGACAAAATTCGAGCTCAACCATCGATACTCACATCAAGGTCAGAGAGTGGATTCAGCAAGAGATAGTGCACAGGTTAGAGTCACACTACTTCCGGATATATATTTAATTGTTTTTTTTTTTCAAAGACGCAAAAAAGTTTCTTTCCAAAGTGACGAAATTAAAAATTTCTTTCTTTCAAAACGTCCTTTTGAGATTAATTTAACTCAAATTATATCTTTTTACTTTTTTTTTTTCACAAATAAAAATGAACTCATCGAATCAATTTATAGATTAACAAATTTTCTATCGCATGTTTCGATGTTTCATCCGCTAGACACTTATCGCTTTTTTTTGTGACAGTTGTTACCGTTTCAAAGACGCGATCTGCACGTCTTTTTTTTTTTTTATTGCGGCGAGCTGAGGATACTCGAAGAACGCTTACCCTCGCAAATTCGTCGATTGTGGTTCGAAGCTTGTGCGACCCAGTAATCCAATTAGAGATTTCGCTTAAAGAGTAGTAGTTGCTTTGAGACGTAGCCCGCATCACTCAAATCCGGAGAACTGTGAGTTAGGTGTCTCTTCTCTCTTTTTGCTCTCGAATATTTCGTTAGGTATATTGACTCACGGAGACGGGTAAGGCAAGTGCCATTCTCGGTTAATTAAACTCGTTAGAGCTCGCGCGCGCGACTTTACTTCTCGTCACAATTAATATCTAGATTATAGATCACAATATTGTGTTTCTCTCTGTAACGCGTTGTTATTATTAAATAAAGAAATAAAACTGATGAAATAAACAATTATTGCTTTTCTATTTACATTACAACAACGTGAATATAAAAGATTGTTTAACAATGTTTATCTTTTTTTTTCATTACTTCATATCGACGGAAAAAGTTATTTTGCAAATTAATTGTCTGTCTGTCTGTCTGTGTGTGTGTGTGTGTGTGTGTGTTTAAATTGCATCGCTTCATTTCGACAAAAAACATTATTTATTGATCCGCGACTATAATACATTTCGGTACATTGTGTTATATATAGTTAACGCACTTGAAATACGTTTAATTAGAAACATACATTATGAAACTCTGTGTAACTAATAAACAAACATGTATTATCATTAAATGTGTTTGACGAGGTAACTTTTTGGTTTGATATAATGTGCAAGATTTAAAGTGATTAATTAGCTTCGGGAAAGTGCAACTGTGTGTGTTGTTATTACCGATTGTTATCAAGTCGTGAAATTAACGCGTATCTTTCATTTGCGAAACGCACGTGAAATAACATATTGCGATCGATGGTTTTCGATAATTGAACGCAACTAACTAACCAATTATAACAAATATTAATAACGTTTATTTCACACATTATCAAAATCTTATGGCAAACATCAATTAATGTAAATGTAATAATATTGCCTGTTCATTTGTTACATGTATATCTAAGTTTAACATGTAATATTCGTTATTTATATTCAAATATATACTTTTTATTACTCTGGTTAGGCGTTAATGTATTTTAATGTAAAATATTTTGTTAGAGAGAGATAGAGAGAGACAGAGAAACGGTGCGAGAGACGTAGGTCGAAGTTTTGTGTTTTAGTTTCATTTCTTCGTGTTCCAGATGCTCGCCAAGGTTCTTGCGCAAAACGCGAGAAACATTGCAGAAAGAGCATCAGGAGAAACTGAGCAAGCAGGAGCGAGAGGAAAAACAACGGATGGAGGAAGCGGCGTTGAAAGAAAAAAAAGACGAACCGATTTACGCCGAGAGCCCGGCTTTGGTGGTGCGGCCTGGAAAGAAGTCGAAGCTGCCCAAGGTTTCCGTGGCTATCGACGCCACACCCGCGACTAGAACCGAGTCTATCTTGAATCAGGTGCCCATCGAATTGACCAAGAGCATCGAAACAACAGCGAATACGTATCAACCGAATCTAGATAGATTGATGGCACCGGAAGTGGTCGTTATCGAGCACCATCACTCCAGAAGCGATCCCTTGCCGATGGATATCGTTCTGAGAACGGTGAAACCGAATTTTTCCACCCCAAGAATCAACGAATCGGATTCGGGCAGCGCGAGCAGCTTGTACGCCAAAATTAATCCCAAACTTAAGTCCCGTCTTCCTCGTCCCGGTCTGGGAACAAGCGCGGAAACGCCATTGTCCGACGAACTGAAGTACGAGAATCCACTTGGCGAGGAGATCTACATGAAGACCGGACAGATTTTAACGACCTTCGGCACGGGCGATGTAAACGTCACGTGTCGAGAACCAACAATGGAGAGAGAATGCGTCAGTCCGGAAGAAGCCCTGCAGACGATTAAACGTCGAAATTATCCCAAGGTGCTGCCGGATATTGAGAAGAGACGTTCGCTTCCGGCACCGAACAGTCTCTTCGTGCCCAAGCACCACGCAAATTCGCTCAAAGACTATAAAAGCGAAAATCGTATAATTTTATCAGCGAACCAACCGCCGTTACCGCCTCCGAGAACGTTCGGGATCTCCAAGAGCTTGGAAAAGAACAGTTTGTTCGCGGAAGAGAGCGAGAATCTGGGCGAGGAAGAGCACCCGATCAGCACGACGAATCTGCACGTGGGCCCGTTGCTGAAGCGACAGGACTCGTCGAAAAATAACTCCGATCCCAACATCATAGATTCCTTGGATGGGGTCAGAAACGTTCAACCGGGCGGTAGTGTGGATAGCATTTATGCTAATCCAAAATGTCCGCTTCACGGAGGTCTCTATTTGCCGTCCTCCTCAGCCCAGAGCGAGAACATTAGCAAGTCCGTCGAGCTTCTCGAGGTGGGCAATCCGAATTGGTACAGACCAACGACGTGCGAGTCATCAGCTGTAATAGCGTCGACCTCCGAGCCGCAAATCATGATCGCCGCGAACGAGAGACAGCCGTTACCGGGCGCGACGTCGCGTATCGAACCGAGGATCGTGATCACGCCGAGAGTAATTAATCCGAGTCAAACGAATCAGAATCTGATTTCGTTCTCGAAGGTGCCAATTGTCGAGGACAAAATTGACTACGAGCCGCGAACGGAACTGGGGCGAAACAACAAGGATTCGTCGCCGGAAGGATTGGACGCATCCTGCGGTTCTTTGCTGATCAGAGAAACGGAAAGGAGGGAACCGCGGATAATAATAACGGCGCGGGAGCCGAAGAATTGCTCACAGGCGAGCAGTCAGAAGCAGCCGAAGATTATCATAAAGCCGACGGCGACTCTGCCGAGGTGCCGAGATCAGAGGAATATACCGAAGGTGTCAGCCATACCGTCGCCGGAACAGCAAAATTGCCAGAACACCGAGAGAGACAGGGCGTTCGAGCAAAGAGAAAAGCCGTCCCTGAGGGAGAAACCGAGGGTTACGAGGATTCCGTCGTTTTCGCGCAGGCGGGAGGAGGCCGGGATTGAAAAGCCGTTGCACATAGAGAAGACAGAAATCGCGCAGAGAGCGGAGGTGGCGGCGCCCAGTAAAATCACGAACGCGCCATCGGCGGCGTCCGACGCCAAGTCGAGCATACCTTCGCCAACGACAACGACGACGACGACGACGACGACGACGATGCCGAAGAGCGAGAAGACTCTGAGCACCGATTCGTCGTCCGCGAGCAACGGAAATTCCAGCAACTCGAATACCGGCACGATTAAACGCAAACCGTCGAGCAAGAAATAATTGGCTTCGGCCACCCACGTGTTACGTTTCTGTCCTGTTTTGCAAATGTAGATGGAATGTAGATGGGGATCTCTCACAGCCATTCCGCCCGAACGTCGATACGCGGTTCCGCGTAGCTACGGATTTTTCCGCGAGGCATTTTCCGTCGCAATCAAAATCGACGATATACAAGAAAACGATCGTGTTCTTTTTTTTTCTTTCTTTTTTTTTATCTTTTTTTATTAATTTTTTTCTACCTGCAGAATCCATTAAAATATGTAAACTTATTATTTCTTGTAGAGGTGGTGTTATTTTTATTACCACCTCTTCAATTTAGACGTTAACGACGTATTAATTTTGCATTTTTTTAAGTAAAATGCCAGCGCATTTCACCGTGTCTTGTGCAATGTAACTTATTTCAGACACGCATAATGTTATTATTTTACATTATTTAACATATCGTTACCTTACGTTGTATTAGTATTTAAATTAGATCGCGCTGTCTCTCTTTTCCATTATTAATTAAAACCAATCGCTAACACGCGTGCTAAAATACGATTGTTCATCACACGTACGTACACTAATATTGTCAATGTTTGAAACAAAACTTTGGAAAAAAAAAAAAAAACGGCGTGACAATAATATCTCATTAAACTTTAAGTGTGACTCTAAAGCGCTAACTATGTAATAGCACAGACGTAGAATTATATAGACTGCGCGTTTGGCTGAAAAGATGTCTTCATGGTTGAGGGAGACAGCATACTTTGAATAGTAACTCTTTCTCTGTCTATCAATGTATCTGTGGTGGGATCAGGGCCTACCGTTTCATATCACCTATATAATCTGCCATCACCCCTTAATCTCTTTCACTCCTCTTCACCCCCACTATTTTTCTATCCCCACTTTCCGTTACTATTCTATCAATCAGCGAAGACTTCTTTTTCCCCCACTACTTCGCTAGACAAAGATGAGGCTACTNTTCAACCATAGACTTATATAATAGACGGAACATTTATATGACAAAGTTGAGAACAACATTAAAGGACAGAGATAGTGCTGGAGTAGTTGTCTCTCTCTCTCTTACAATAAGATGGTGGGGGACCAATCATCTCACAAGTCTATGCTATCACCTTTCACTATCACTTTCTCTCAACTGACTCTCGAACTCTATCTTCGTTGCTCTCGGCCTGCCGCGGCCACCAATCAACTCGCTGCTAGAAAAGAAGAGAATTACTCCACGACTATTTCTGTCTCTTTTAACGAAGCTTCAGCTCCTCTTACACGAATGTTTCCGTTCTATTATATAAGTCTATGTATTCAACATCAGCTGTCTCTCTCAACGTTGAAGACATTTTCTTAACATGGCAAAGGTAGGGAACGCGCAGTCGTATACATTCTACGTCTATATATATTAGGTCTATCGGAAAGTTCTGTCCGTTTTTGGAATAAAACAAAATACAAATTTTTCTTAATTTTTCAAAAATGGGACATACAAATTGCCCTCACGCTGGCAAGAAATCATTAATAATAACGGCAATTATATTATTTAATCAAGTTTATTGACGGTAAGAAAAATTTGTATTTTGTTTTATTCCAAAAACGGACAGAACTTTCCGCTAGACCTAATATATATATATATATATGTATAATAGTAAGTACACGTATATATATCTTTACTTGTGAGAATTATCGTGTGACCAAATTTTTAATCGCGATTCGATCGCGAGAGTAGATATTTCACTTTTTGTTAGTTGTTAATATTTTTTTAAGCTCTTCCGCGCTTTTTGTACGCGCGCACAACTTTGCGTTATGAGAATAAATTTTTTTTTCCTACTTTTTTAGGAGAAATTCCAAAAATATGAAAGAAAAGTTTTTATATCCGCGACATTCGTCATTCCTGTTCTCTCCGTGTGTGTGTGTGTGTGAGGTGTCTCCTACGTCGTGCATCTCCTCGCGACTTTACATGCGTCTCGCGAAAAAAAACTTTGTTATTAAGTGAAGCGCGCGCGCGCCGGAGGGAGGTCTATAAGTCGCGCGCGCAGCAGATGCAAGCGAAGAACGGCGAGGCGAATCGGGACAAAGTGGTTGGCGAGTTCTCACTTATATTACCGGCAGATCGAATTGATTTTCAAAGTTCTCCCGGTAATGGGATTCTCTCTCTCGTCTTTAACCGCCACTACGCGGAAGGGAAAAGACCATTTTCACGCTAGTCTCTTTCTCTCTTCTCAATCCTGCCTGTCTCCGTCTTCTTCTTTTGCCCGCTCTCTCTCTCTCTCTCTCTCTTCTTTCCTCTCTTCTTTTCCTGTGTGTTTTCGTTTCATCTCGCTCCGCGACGTTCAATCTGCTCGATAACGTTGCCCCCGATAATCGGAGCCGAAGAAGAAGCGAGAGAGAATTCGAACGAGTATTTTGACACTCAGACGAGAGAAAATTTCGGGAGTTTTCTTTTTTTGAGACGGAAATGGGATTTCTCGATATTATAAAAAATTTGTTTCGTTGAGAAAACAATTTGATTTTGTGAATAAATAAATCTCTCTCTCTCTCTCTCTCTCTCTCTCTCTCTCTCTCTCGATCTTCATTATTTCCGCTTCGTTGCGAATAATCTTACCGTGTTGATCAGATTACGCGTCTTGTGGTAGAGTGTGTGCCGGAGAAGTTCATCAGTCTGGGCGGGCGAAATTGCAAGACACGTGCAATCTGACAGCGATAACTCGGTCGTAGTCTCGGAGTTGGAGTATGCATCGCTAAGTTGGCGTTTAGATGCCGGCGTCGTCCTCTCCTGCCTTATGCGACAGCGCGTAACCAGTAATCATCTACCGCGGCGCAATGGGGAAACCCCCTCTCCTTTGCGTTTCGCAAGTCGCCATGACAGGTGCGTGGCATCGCGTGACCTATTGTCGGAGGGAGTGATATACTGTCAGAAATAACAAAGGGAACAAAAGCCGAGAGATCGCGCACTCTTGAGAAATATCTTGTCCTTTGTGTCTTCTCCGCATATAAATCTCAAAAGCTCTTGAGAAGTAGTAAAATGAATTTATTAAAAAAAAAAAACAATTATTCGTAATTTAAAAATATAGAACGAAATTCTTCATCAGAATCCAGCAGAATCGGACAAATTGTTAGAGTTGTTTTTTTTTTAATTTTAAGAGAGATTTTTTTTGTTTCGCCATTTGTATTACTTTTGTAATTATTTATGATGTATTTAATTATACGGCAAAGTGGATTAGAAGTCAGGCCGCAATATTGCAGCGTTTGTTAATTAAACCGCACGTAAGAATTTGAGCGATCGAATGCCGCCGATGAGAGAGAGATAATTTCCGCGTCGTGATTATCTATGGCACGAGCGTCTAATTATCGCATGATAATCAGCGATTAAGCACGAACCTATGCGGGAACCTCATTATTATGCTCCGAACGGTGGCGTCGCAGCCACCGCGAATGCATAGGTACATAATTTCGTCTTCCCCCGACTGAACCAATTAATAAATTTGCACCGACTGCCCGCTCGCGGGACAAGGTTGGGTCCGTCTATTTCCACTGGAGGCCATTGTTTCCAAGACAATGGCAGCTACTTGGCAGTTAGAATATATATCGTACCGCCCTGAGAGATGTGGATACTGAACCGCGATGTCAGATTAATGAGATTTCGAAACGAATTCACACCGGGATGTGTGTTTCAGGATAATTGTATCTGGCCATCCACGTGGACGTGATGCAAAAAAACTTCGGAGGACTAATACTACTGCGATAAAACAACAATGTAAAATTATTTAATTTTAATATTAAATATAAAATAATATAAAATAATTGTTATTGTTATAAGAGAGAGATTAACTCAGACATACTGGCGATATTTTAAAGACTTCGACTTTCTCTAAAAGCTGGAAAAAAAAATAAAATAAAATTCTCGAAGATTATTAAAAAAAAAAAAAAATAGTGAACTTCTCAAAAGACAATCGGAATTTTCAATTGAACGACGAGAAAAGAACAATCAAAGTGTGTTCAATGAGACACAAAGCGAGCTGTAAAAAAAAAAAAATATCTTTAAATGGAATAGTCTAATTTAATCTTATCTCCGTGAGAGAATAGCTTTGATTCAACGAGAGGAATCAAGCCCAATGCTCGTGATGTGCTATTTGATAGCTGTCTCTGATATTTATCAGGCTTTCTATCGGACAGCTTTGCATCTTTTGCTGGTCTCTTTGATCATTTATTTACTTCCATTTTCTAAACAAGGTATAAAATAAGAGATAAATCAAGTTTTTATCCTTATTTTAACCATGTGCGTTAATATTTGTAAAACAAAAGTACCCATGAAATTAAATTAAGTTAATTAAGCATGAAATAAAATTTATCTTTTTTGTATTTGCGAGTATACGTATTATTAATATACCGTCACGTTTAGATATTTATTAATTTTGTTGTAATTGCGTTTAAAAACATTCGGCAAACGTTCGGCGTTTTTTAATTGTCTGGAAATTACAGAAATCAAATATTATTATTTGCTGATGTGAATCGATCGGTTAAAAAAATTCTTTTGGAGAAAGAATTTTTTGTCGCAAATTACACCGCGGTCGAAAAAAAAAAAAATGACAACGTTTTTTCAGCGCGCCGGACTGGAAACTAACACAGGCTCGGTAATTCTTTATTAAGAAAGTTCCGAAAGGATAACTTCATTAATGTTTGTACCTGTTCGACAGACGCCAGGGGCGATCGAAGTTGAAAATTGTCCATCGTCGGGACGACAGTCGCCCCGACGATGGCAACTCTTGCCCCAACCCCCCCGACAACCCAATCCAATAAAAAAGTACATGTGCACCATAATATCGTTACGAAAGATCAACTTTTACCGCTTTGCACGAATCGAATTTGTTACATTACACGCGAGAGACACAAGTGGACCGTTCGTTTCTTTGTATTTTGAAAGTTTTCTATTTCGAGAGATCCAAAATTTTGCGAGAATTTTTTACATCGAAACATTTTTATTATTATGATTACGGAGGGAGGCGGAGGGGAAACAAAAGACAAACGGAGGAACAAATCAAAGCGGCATTTTCCGCACACTCGTCCGTTCTCTCTCGTATCGGTCAGTCCTTTGTAGAATCCTTTTATTCCTATCTGCGAGGAGTAAATCAAGTTCCGGTTCGTGCTTCTTTTCACCTTATTTTTACTCTCGACAGAGGCGGGAAAGGCATCTCTCGAGAATTTGGCGTCGCCGTTTGTTGCGAAACGCGATTTTGTTTCCGAGCTCGCGGCTCGTTAGAGCGAAAATATTTCAACATCGGTCGCATCGCAGAATTACTTGACGATCCTTCTTTACAGCGTGCACACTTGACGATACCCGCGTACGACGATATAAAAGTTGATTGCTCGATTGCACTCAACGTGTAAATTGCGCATTAGCATCCGCTGATCTTTGCGTATTTCGTTCTCTGATTTCTCAAACGAGAAACTCGCGAATATATAATCAATATGTATACATTATATGACGCTCAATGTGTTTCCGAGAACGTATAAAATTTATTCCGGAAAACAAAACTACTTTGCAGCTTTTTTTTTTAACCCTCTATGGACCCACACCGAAAAAATGGTATTCTTGTTTTGAGGATATCCCACTTACTTTAAGTATATTTTATACTAAAATAGGCGCCAAGAAGAGTTTCTTATTTTAAGAGGAAAATTCTCTAAATAGTAATATTGATAAGAATATATGTATACTGATTAGAGAATATAAAAAGCTTCTATAGAAAAACATATATATCTCACTATCGAAAAAGACTATATTCTTAAATAAAGAATATATCCTTAAATAAAAAATATATTCTTAATTTCGGAAGAATATCATCTAAAATCTTGAAGAAGATTTTTTAAGTACAAAATCTTCTACTTACGAGAATATAATTGTTTCGGTGTATATATATATACACGTACACCGAAAAAATTGTATTCTTGTTTTGAGGATATATCCCACTTACTTTAAGTATATTTTATACTAAAATAGGCGCCAAGAAGAGTTTCTTATTTTAAGAGAAACATCCTCTAAATAGTAATATTGATAAGAATATATACTGATTAGAATATATACTAATAGAATATATACTAATTAGATTTATATATATATATATAATCAGTACGTAATCTATATATCTTTTGCATTAATAACGATATTTTGTAAGATTTTTTAAATAATTTTATTTTTATTACATTTTAAAGTGATACACATTACCTATGTTTAATTTTTTATTTTTAACGATCATAATCTATATCTATATTTATATTCTTTTTAATTATTATTTTTATAATAAAATGTAAACTAATACAGTATAATAATAATTTTAACACTTATATTATTTTTAATTATTAAAAAAAAACATATCTTACTATCGCGCGAAAAAGACTATATTCTTAAGTTAAGAATATATTCTTAATTTCAGAAAAATATCATATCTAAAATCATTAAGAAGATTTTTTAAGTATAAAATCTTCTACTTACGAGAATATAATTTTTTCGGTGCATGTAACTTTCAAGTCACAAGCTAATATATCCACATTTTACCAAATAATTTTGGTTTTTTCCACAAGATGATGTATACGTCTTAATTATATAACGCCTCTGAAATAACCAATAACAATATTGATGACGGTTAGGCAGCACCATCAACCCGAAATGTCAAAATAAATACCTTGCAAGTTGTATTTAAGAAAAAAACTTTGGCCCACAGAGGGTTAAATTCTTCTCAAAGATTTTTTAAGTTCTTCTCAAAGACTTGGAACAAAGAAAAAAAAATGTCAAAAAACGTTCTCGGAAAAATTCGACAAAAATCCCCCGAACTATTGTCTAAGTTCTATAAGTATATTTACGCAGTCAGTTAGATTCCGAAATTCCGAAGAGACGAACACACATCGAAAGTTTGAAATAGTCCTTCTCCGGTGAATCGATTGAAATAAGTTGAAATAGATCTGTTATTGTTTCAAAGTGAGGAGCAAGAGAGAAAGAGAAAGGAAAAGAAGACACAAGAGAGAGAGAGAGAGAGAGAGAGAATTGATTCTATTCGTCTATATATAAGTGTGCAACAATGTTTTTCCAAATATCAAACTACGAATTATCACGATCGTGAAAAAATGAATAGATACGGATTTGTGCAGCTTTTTGAAGTTCGCTTTTAGTCTTTTTGCACACATACCGATGGAACATCGCTCTCGTTTAAACTATTGAAGGATCACTTACCGTAGGCCTCGCAAGCTCCCATTATTCACTGCGATCCGATTACGCGGGCTTTGGAGTTTCTCTCCCGGCGCATTCTGGATGTTCTCGTTAAGAACATCGACCGAGCTACGGTTTCCGGTTAACCGCCCTCTTCAGGCAGACGCCGTCTTCAACATCGTCGCGTTGCTCCTCGTCTTCCCCCCCGAGCAAATTGAATTTCGTTTCTCAGTCATTTCCTCGGCCGGGTGAGAGGAGCTGTCCACCCTACGGTTGACAAAGAGGGCATGGGCCAGAGGGTCCGGCGGAAGAGGTACGGACGTGAGTCGTTTTCTTTCATGCACTTAGATATCAGCGACGTCTGCATCCTGTTCTCCAAGGTTGCCCAACAAGGCGATTCATCTTCCGGGGAGGGGATTAGAGCAGGTTGAACGCGTCCGAAATGGATTGGATCTTTAGAACTAAGTTTTTTTCAGATCCTTCGCGGATTGCGAAAAATTCCTTTGGATTCTTTTTCCCAGTAGTATACACATTCTCTCACAGTCTCTTATTTTGATATAATCAAGTTTCGAGACAATTTAAAAAATTGCAAATACTGTTTTTTTTCTAGTGATTTTCATTCGATTTTTTTTTGGTTAAAAAAAAAAAATTCAGAATTTTCAGAGAACCAGATTTCCATTTTTATAATTTTTGAGAAGAAATTTATTTTTATTTCACACATATGTATGTGCAAACACGCGTACCACAGATATAAAGATGTAGCATCTTTATTTCTTTGCGGGGTGGAATATATAAATTTCATTCGCGCGCGTAGAAGAACTCGAGGAGGACTCGGCCCGTTAACGAAATCAGTATAGTCCCGCCGGAAAACTTTTTCGCCGAACACCTACTGTACGCGCTGAAAAAGTTTCGAACACTCTCGCATGCTGCAGGCAGGATGGAATCCTCTGATATATCTCGTCGAATTTTCGGTTGCGCGAGATCACAATAGAGGCCTGAAAAAAGGACCAGACGAGCGCGAGTATATCATTCAGCCGGTTCCGTTTGCTCCGTTTCGGCCCGCTGAATCACGCGTAGCACTTTGAGCATGACGAATATGAGTGTTAAATTCAGTAAGAAGCGAACGCGTCCCGGTCCCGTTTATTCCTGCAAAAATTAGAGGATTTTCGCTGTTCGTTAGCAAAATATTAATACAAAAAAAAGAAGAAAAAAAAACATTTTACATTCCGAACGTTGATGCAGGCGCCAAAAATATTTTACATTTCCGTAAGATAAAATTTATCAAAAACTTTCCTGTTTGTTTAATATTTTCTAAAGGTTTTTTTTTATTGCAATATATGCGCATACATATTTTCACATGTATGTAAATTCTTGTTCTTATTTTTGTTAATTGTACACTGCAATTTTTTTATTAAAAAAAATGTCGAAATACCGAGAGTGCGTCAACACGTTGAAAATTACAACGTCAACTATTGTAAACAACAACTTTTTATCACAGATGCGCAACTAAATTTACGCGTCAGAACATTTTTTCCCCCATGTATAAATATTTTTCCATCTTTTTTTCTTTGTTTTTTTCCGACATTCCGTTTCTTCATTGTAAGAAACAATAACGTGTGGAATAAAAAATCTAGATTTTAGTCTAATATTTCTTCTCCTCTCTAGTTCTGAAAAATGATCCGATGAATAATTTTTAATAAAAAAATCGCGCTACTTATTTTTGTCAAGAACTTTGCATCAGAGTTGCCGGCATTTTTACTCGGCGCGGTATTTTTTTTTTTTTACATCGTTTTCAGTGTGTGTTTCTCGTGCGCAGCCTCTTTCCGCTCGACCGAACCGACTCCGCTATTCACGCGTTAGATTAATTAGCCTCAAGATCTCGGCCAGAAGACGGCGCGGAATACCCGACAGCGCAATTGAGCAACCCAATTAGTGGTCTCGGCGCAAAGCTCTCGAGCTCTCTCGTCGACAACGCAAGGTTTATTCGGACGCAAGGTTTGGACTCGCGCGTCCTTCGAGAGGACATCGATCTACATAAAACGAGGCGAGTTCTCGCTTCGCGCGAAAAGGGCGATACGATACATTTCTCGACAAGTCCCTAGACACACACACGGCGCTTCGAAAGTTACTGCGAGAGAGGTCCATCCGTTGGCAGTACTGAATCGATAGTTGACTGTCCTTTTCTTCGCGCGTCCCCACGAGTCTGCGCGGCGCGTTTCAACGACGCTCGAGCTTTCCTAGACATTCCAGTCCGCAAGGCCGGGTTACGCTTTAGAACGCTAAGAATTTTTAAGAAATAGTTTTCTATATTTTTGCCGTGATATATACAAATAATAATTTTTCTATTTACATTGTGTTTTTTACTGTCTCTCGGAAATTATAGTCGAATAAAATAATTCCACGATCATATAATATAAGATATACTTGAAAATGTATGATGGAATGTAGTTTTGCGCTTTTATCCGTTTGCTCAAATTTTTGTATCATTTTTTGATTATTTACAAAAAAAATACAAAACAAAACGCAAAGCAAGAATAATTCTCAGAAAATAACGCGGACTCTTAAATTACTATATCGATATGTTATATATATATATATATATTATTTTATTTCCACGTGCAAAAGTACAATATAGATTGTCTTCTTTCATCAATTAATTAAACATGATCACTTATATCGATTATTTGTTTGAAATAATTCGACGACACTGCGAATGCAGTGTCTCGTCAAAACACCCGTCAAAATAAAGCCTTTGAAAAAGTTTATTATTGATCCGGGACGTAAAGTTTATCGAACGCTATTGACCTTGAATTAAATTTACCCATCCCCGGCTTCGACACAAAGCAAAGTTTAAGCGAGCCCGGCGCGTGTAATCATGCTTCAGGTTCCACAAAGGAAGTCTGGCTGGCTAACGGGGGTGCTTCGCAACATCCAACCCCCGAAGTGTAACCCGCGGAATCGACCGTGGCGCGCTCGGCAGACGAGAATGGAGGCTCTGGCGTCGCGTTGCGCGAGAGCTTGCGGAGCTTTCCATTCCGGTGCCGTAGTCCGTCTCGCGATCCTCGCGGTGACGTTACACACGTCGTGTCGTGTCGTGCCGGTTTTACCGTGCCGCCCCTGCGATCGTCCGGAGGGTGGCTCTGCGTCAGTCGCGACGATCCTTACGGAGTATAAATGTCCATGGTGCTGTTGTGATTAATCCGGGCGTCGCGTCGCACTACAACCCCTAGCAACCGCGACCGGAATGCGCGCGGACGTGTTGTCGTCGCCGATGTTACAAGGGTTGAAGCAACCCTCTTGAGCTTACTTCCGTTAAAATAAACGCGAAACCGGAAGACATAGATCGTGAGTAATATTCGGCATCCGATGATCGAGATGTAGTAGTGCAGTGTGTTGTTGAATCGAGAGAAGAAAAAGTTGATTTAAAAAAGTATACGAACAGTTTGACTTAAGGGCAGCGATTAAATGTTCAGTGTGTTTGTATAAAAATCATTTCACGGGCCGCATTTTTGAGAAAAAAATTAAAATAATTAAATTCACTTAAACGTATGATAAAAAAATAACTAAACCGATTCTTTGCAAAAAAAAACTGAAAATTTTAAGTTGAAATAATTAAAAAAAAAAAAAAAAAAAAAAAGAAAAAACTGTATTTCGAGTGTTTTCTCTGATAGAGACTGTTCGCGCGATTAATGAAACGTATCAGATTAAAACGTGTCGGTGTTATATTGTTAAGTAAATCACAGTAAAATTAACTGTTGAGAAAAACGATATGTTTGAATGAAGATTTATCGCGTTGTGTGTAGTGTACAATTTGAATATTAATCGAAAGTTTTGGAGTGTTGAATTCAACTCAATTTTTATTCAGGCTTGTACCGTCTCGATCCAATTGTGAAACAGAAATGAAAACGGTGAAATTGCATTTAGTGTGTGCGTTTATTAGTGCGATTATTAGAAAAATGTGTCCAATTCAGTGCACAAAGTCTTTCCCGTGTTGATTTCATCGAGTGGAATCCCATTTGCCTTTGAACAGTGAGTTCATACAAATCATCATTATTATTATTATTATCATTATTTTAATAATAACAACATCGTAACATATATCCGTAATTTTCTCTTTTTTGTTACATATTGAGCAGTAATAATACACTGCTGTGTATGTACGTGTACACATTTTGTTGTAACTAAAAAGTAAATTTAAATGTCGATTGAGAAAATGCGATATATTTCATACGAATTTTTATTTTTTATACAAACTTTTTCTTCCTCTCTTTCTCTCTCTCTTTCTATAACATTCTTTTCTGAAAATTATAAATTCTATTTTATTGCAACTTAGTATACGGAATTTTGTTATCGATATTTCGTTTAAACAAATCGATGAAATAATTTATATTCACAGTATCAGAGAGACATAATATAATTTGACATCTAGTATCAAATAATTCAATCAAAATTTCTGTATCTATTTCTACTCTATATCTGTTACAAAATCTATTATATTCTAATCATGTTTATTAATGATCATCTAATAGAAAGAGAGAGAGAGGGAGAGAAAAAAGAGAGATCAATTGCACAACTTGAATTTGTGGTTTTTTTTTGAGAGAATTTGAGTTTTATTATATCGCAACATTTTCTATAGCAATAAAACTCATTATTTTATATTCTAGAAATGAGTCATTTAAATAATTTTTTTTTTATAAAACATTACACGCACAAAATACAAGAAAATATGAAAAATAAAATTAATATCTTTGAAAATTTATAATAATTAGTATAAACACTTTATAAACTTAAAAAAATAAGTTACGTATTTGCAAACAATAATTCTTAAAAGACAAATACCTTGGAACGAACGTATTTCGAACAATCAAATTGCAATTAGTTGATTGCATTCGTTTATTCAAATGTCCTTCGAGAAACGGTAAAAAACTTTTGGACTAATGGTCGAATAATTCAACGAAGTGAAATTATTAACGAAAACAAGATTTTGACGGGGTCCCATATCGAATTCGACGAGAGGGTTATAAGCGAAACCTCATCGTTCCGATCTTTCACATTGCGCGGAAACATGGCGGGCGTTCTCGCTCAACAGTGAAATTTCTGTTTTTCCAACCCCGCGCGTCCTTCCTCGCGCGCTTCCCGCGGGGGTTTCCGCGTTTAAATATTCCCGAAGTATGCAAATGCTGTAAATTCGCTGGAAAATATACCCGGCGTATCCGACGAACTCAACCCGGGCTATCGAATTGTTATAGATATCGCGAAACGGTAGCGCACACGCGAAAATGTATTAACCCTGGCGGCCCGCCGATAATTTGCATAAATGGCTGACGGAATTTACGCGCGACCGCCATGTCGCGATCTCTCTCCCCCCCTCCCCTTTACCTCTACGCGGGCGCGCCAACTTCAAAGCGGATTGCAAGTTACAGACGATTTACGTGCTCATTATGCCTTTGTGAGTTCCGCGGTTAGTGTATGGAGAGAGCACACTGCGAGAAGTTTTAGACACTTCAGGAATAAACTTCAACGCGATATATCTTTGGCTTCGGCGGTTGTGCGAAGCACGTAACGTTGTTCAACCCTCTCGAGCGTGTAACTTAGGGTATATGTACAATCTTTCGAGCACCTCGGCATAATTGTAAGCGCGCGAGCGTAATTACGGTCTCGAAAACAGCTGCAATCACCGGAGAATAAAATAATTCCAATCGGACACAAACGGCGCGCTCGCGCAAACAAAAATTTTAATTTTAATTTACATTTCATTTGTATTATAATCGGAAAATAATCTTGTTCTTTTTTTTTTTTTTTTTTTTTTACATCGTGTTTTGCAAACGATAAAATTCGAAGTTTGCACGCGTATTTTTTAATCGCGAGAAAGATGTAACCGCATAGGAAAATCCAAGCGATTTTCCATCCAAGCGAGAGATAGCATTGTGCCCCCGCGAATCCGAACGTGTCTTTCACGGAGACACGCACGTTCAATCTCTCGTATATATTCTGTATATTTCCTTGGAAAATACATCTTACGTATTTGTATCGTATTGGAAAAATAATCCCCGTCGACCCTCTCTCCTCCCCCCGCCGAGCGCGAGAAGAGAGAGAGCTCCCCCGGAATGCAAATGCGTTTTTCTATTGATAAATGTAGACGGCTAACAAACACACACACACACAACACGCTCGTGCGATTCCGATTGAATGAAATTTGTTCTGCTTACGTACATAAGACGCCTGATTTATCTCTTCCGACGCAACGGCGAAACGCGGATTACGTGCTTCGCATGTGTACACCTTCCCTCCGGGCGCATTCCCCATCTCAAGAAAATATGCGACGAGACTCCGACGGACGTTTCAGTTCTTCCAAGAATAATCGTCGCTAAGCAAAGCAGCAACACCTGCTATCGTCATCTCTCCTCTCGTGAAGCGTCGCGCATTAACGTTCTTGTGACACGCGAAAAATTAAAAAAAAAAAAAACAAAAAAATTGCGGCACAAGTTCACGAGACGCTCGAAATGCGCGAAGCCGGGGACTAATTTCACAAAAATTCTCAGTATCTTCTTGATAGTTTTTTTTTTTTTTTTTTTTTTTTTTTGAAATTCGTGTGGTTGTGTAGATTTTATTATTTAATTAACTGGCACGCAAATTGTTTGTGAAGAATTTTAAATTATCTTCATTCTTTTTCTCTCGAGCTTCGCCGCTATACGCGGATCAAATGATTGTCGTTGAAGTTTAAGGATTTTCTCCGACTTTCTCTTCCCCCGCCGCCGCCCGGTCGCGAGATTAGTTAGTCGAGGGGAATGGTTTAGAAAGTTATTCCGCACTTTGTGTGTGTGTAATAGTCTCAGTCGTGCATATCTGCGGCGCTCGAAGTGAGTCTTCGGTTGTGTGATATCTGAGATTGAGAGGCGCGCACGGGCTTATATGCCACGCTCCGCGCATTGAATGGGGCGCGCGCGCGCGCGCGCGTGTTCGCTTCTCGTCGCGACGAGACGAAAGCCGCAAGTTTTGATGAAATGCATTCTGTCTGCCGCAGTGACTACGTAAGAAGGGAAGGAGGGTTGCGCGATACGTATAGACACGGTAGTATACTTATATAGTGCGTGGGGGTAACGTGTGCTGGGTTAGGCGCGCTACACGCGAGGATGCGAAACCGAGGGATCGGGACAGCGTGAAAAGCGGGGGAAGCGAAGAGAGAATTCATCCCTTCGTCGACTTCCTCTTCCTCGACTCTCTCTCTCTCTCTTTCTTTCTCTCTCTGTGCTTCGACTTCATCCCGGAGTTGTCCCCGTTTCACGCCATAATCAGAGTTCAGCCAACTTTGCTCTTTCTTCACCTCCTCCGCCACAGTCGCGTTGGACTCTAGACGTATTACTCTCTCTCTTTCTCTCTCTCTCTCTCTCTCTCTTTCGTGGAAAGTTTCTTTCCGGCGTGAATAGAATCCTGCCGGTTCAAAAATCAAAGGTTCAAGATTCTGAAATTGAAATATAACGGTTTTGTGTGGCGTGCGCGCGCGCGGACGAGAGAGATGGATCCGAGCGAAACTTAAAAAACGCGTATATAAAGTTGCGGCAATTTAATAAAGGACTTCGCCGGGGCGAAACTATTGTAATTCCGGATTATTCCGTAAGATAAAGAGTATTGAAAAATGTAAGTTTACTTAATATATTACGCTCTCTCGGAGAAGTTGTCTACAAATCGTCGGTGTTTACAAGGTTTTATTCCCGTAATTACTCGAGTGTTTCAGAGAGAGAGAGGGAGAGAGAGAGAGGGAGAGAAAGAGAGAGATTCTCTAAAGAAGAATTTATATTTTAAACTTTGTACACATTTTTCAACTTTCTTCTGAAGTGTTATTTTATATTGTGTGTGTGTGTGTGTGTGTGTGTACGTGTTTAAATGTTTTAATTCAATTCGAAAGAAGCTCTTGGATTCCCTGGACAACAATGTACCGCCACACATGGTGTTTTGTAAATTTTTAAGTCTTCTAAATCCTAGAATCTTCAGAATTAGAACTAATTTCTCTCGTTTTCAAACGTCTCTCTCAGAGAGATTTAAATTGTATTTAAATCTGTATACGCGCGTATATATATTACGTAAATTAGACACGACTGTGTGTGATATCGCAAATAAACACCCCGGATATATCTAGGTTGCTCCATTGATCTATAGTAGTAATTATACATAGTGTTTCGCGGAGCAACGAGCAATATGTTTATTAAACACGGTTTGCCAGTCCGGGGATATTAATTGAAGACAGAAGTTTATTACCATCCCGCGTGCTCGTAATGCAATCGGACGCCGCGCCGTGTCACAGGTTTCTGGTGTTGTATTCCGCCGAAAATTGCGCGAGCGGGAGCATCCCCGCGGACGCGTGGAACTCGGCCAAATGCGATGTACACGGTATGACGCGTCGTATCTCGCGCGCGCGCGCGCGCGAATGAAAAATGTCTCACTTTACACCGTAGTTTTGGTATCACCATTTAAGTAACATATCGCAGGAACTTCGCCCTGGCCAGCTAGTGAGCAAGCGAGAGATCGCGTTTTTGGCACGATGGATCGATAATCCGTTACCGAGCGGATTCGATTACGATACCGCACGAAGTATCAGAGAGGTTAACTCTAAATTCTACTTTTCACATCCTCAACATTTATTTTTTGTACGGTTGATCTTTGCGCGCGCGCGCGCGTATTATAATTTGAAATGTGCTTAAAAAAAAAAAAAAAAAGACAAATGTCGCTTTTGCGTTTAATATTTAACTTTACAATTTAAAGCAAAAATACAAATTTCCAAAATTTATACACGGTCGGTTGCGAAAAAAAGCGTTACATTTTTTAATGGTAATTCTAATTTTGATCTAGAGTCTGCCGGTTCATTCGGCGCTTAATAAAAAAATTGCATTGTGTTCGGGGAATATTTTGTTGAATAAGTCAAACACGTATAAATAAGAATAAAAGTTGGGAAACGCGCGTATCCAGAGAAAGCGCCAGCGTTACGTTAAAGCCGTGTATATACAGGTGTTTCTCCAATTTCATTTCGCTGA